ATATATATATATATATATGGAGTGTTTAAAATGTAATTTTATTTAGATTTGCGAGATTCGCACGACGCAAAAGATTTTCCCGTGCACTGAAACCAAATCGATAATTTTACAAGTAGATTAAGGCTGGATAATACTTTCTGACGCATACAGGTCATTAATCAAAGGTTTTTTTGCGAGTCCATCCGGCTGTTACACGCGGCTGCTGATAGATGCACGCGGATGGCGTAAAAATTCACAACATCGAAAACGAACGCTTTTTTCGCCCATGTTGTCGCGTTTATCGCCACACGGTTTATAGTGATAACTTTTTTCCTTGGTACTCTTGTTGTTCATCGGGGAAGTCTTTGGTATGCGTCTTATATATAATCCCTGTCATCGCTCTTGTTATCGACATCGTTGATGACGTGGCCAGTATAGCGTCGCTCTACGGCCGAGTGGATGGCGTTTCCACCCTATGTCCGAGATGAAGAGCGAGGCGAGGGCAACGATAACATCTCTATGAGGATGCCTATGAATTTTTATCCGATTTGCCCGCGGGGAAACGTGGAGAAGCGATAATCCTTAAAAAAAAAAAAAAATAATAAGTACCTACATCCTCGGCCATTCTCGCGCGATGATAAAAGTTATCGATGGCATTGTGCCATAACAAGAATGTTTTTGTGATTTTATCCGGTCAACAAGAAGGATTCGATTGAAAAGACAAGATACTGTCAAAGCGAAGAGATCTTTGATCTCGTAAGGAATCGTCTCGATGATTTTAAAAAATCTTCGCCATAAGATCTAATATAATAGATGAATACGATTATATGATATCGAAATTATAAAGCAATATTATCATTGATTATGATAAATGATAAGTTTGTTTTATCTTTCGTTTATTGTTAAATCTGTTCATATATATTTGATTGTATCGATCCCTCATAATAATTTTATCGAAAGCTCAATAACGCGTAATTTTTAATCATTATCATATTCTATTTTAATTGTAATATATGCTACACTGAAAGTACTTCCTCTTGTAAATATTATAATATCTGATTAAAATTCAGCTTTTAAATATAATTTTATGTTATTTTAATGTGAACGAGCCAAATTATATTTGTAATACAAATTATACAAATAATATAAATTATTATTTACAATGAGCAATATAAATTCTATTTAATACAATTTGCATAAATATTTATTATTTTATCTTTGTTATATTTAATTTATCATTAATATTGTAGTATTTTTTACTTTACGCGTAAGAGCATTATGTTTTGTATACTTATTAGGAGTATATTTTGAATTTAATAGAACTTTCTGTATCTAGATTTTGCAGAAGTTTACATACATGCGAAATCGTTTGTGATTGCAGTGAATCCTCACCACATTGCGACATATCGTCTTGGCGACGATAAGTCTTGGAGGGAAGTTTATGCGACATAAGTTTTCGCCCTTCCGGGAGGAATATATCGGTCTAGGAGAGCTATAGAATATCCGAGGGCCGCGAATACATGGGCTCCAGATTTTTTGACCTCCCCTTGGGTTATGAGAGGATTTCACTTTCCCGAAAACTATTTCTATTAGAAGATGATGTGGTGCATTATTCGCGTTCCCTTATTAAAATTAATACAATTTGCATAAATATTTATTATCTTTGTTATATTATCTTTGTTATATTTAATTTATCATTAATATTGTAGTATTTTTTACTTTACGCGTAAGAGCATTATGTTTTGTATACTTATTAGGAGTATATTTT